TTCTCTTCTTTTCATTTTCATTTTTTTCAGGGATTATGTGGATTGCGTTATGGTATTTTATTTGTTTATCTGCTTGGGCTTTCATGTATCCCCCCCCCTTCTTTTGGGTCTTTGATTGAAGACCCCGAAGCGGCCGTCCTCGTCGTAATCTTAGTCGCCATCGTGCTTGTGTGTGGGCTGCTCGCAGAGGATTATTATATCTATCCTCTGCTTCTCATTCTCCCTGTTCTGTCTCCCCCTCATCTTCACCATCGTCACGTCACTGTCATGGTTCTTGTCCCGTTTCTTTTATTTTCTTCGAAACTTGTTCTCCATCACGATAGGCTAGGTTAGCACCCTGTTTATTTGTCTGTTTGGTTAGCCGTTTATTTAGTGTCGTGTCGTGCGTGTTTGTGATAATCGAGGTTGTGGTATATCGTCTTGTGGTTCCCTAGTGTCGTGAGTGCGAGGTGAAGTGGTTACTCTTGTGAATTGACTGGCTAGTTGGTTTGGTTTGGGCTGGGTGGGGGATGAGATGTCTCCTGCCTAAGTCAGCCCGCAATGTTTTTACAGGTTGCGCGCTTATGCACGTTCACCATCTTGCGGTGGGGAAAAAAAATGTTTTTTCATAATGAGGTCTTCCATTTCAAAAGGTTTTAGGAGAAGGAGGAAGAAATGATAGGAGGTTTAAGTTAAGCAATTCCCCTTCTACTTGTAAGGCCGAGTGATAATTCATGATCAAGTGCTTTATGGGAGAAAAAAAGGGCGGTGTAAAAGTAGCCGTGTGTAAAAGAGGAAAGAGGGGGAAAGGAAAAAAAAAAGGAAAAAAAAAAATGCGCCCACTCGCCCGTTTTCTCTGCGATCCTCAACTATTTCCATGTATTATTCGTGGCCTATTGTTTAAGGTATTCCGGAGCGCCCCTTCAGTACATGGTGGGTAAGTTTAAGGACAGGATAAAGAGATGTAGGGAAAGGGGAATAGTTTTGAGTTGGTTAGATGGAATTAAAAAGAAAAAAAGAAAGGAAAAACAAGGCTAGACGGTAGGGTCATCGTAGACAAAGCGGATGTTACGGAGGGAGCGGTTTGTGCGGAGGACGAACTGGTCGTCGCCGTCCGGTCGCTCTGGGTTGGTTTTCATTTGTTAGGGCGGGAATCATGGGGCGGAGATGGGAGGAAAGGTAGGAGAGGGTGTTACCGTTCTTTGTGTTCCCGGTGAGCATGCTCTGGATACTCATGCATACGCTCTCAACGCTCTGGACGGGACTCCATCCGTTCCCGCTACTGAGGAGGTCCAGACAAATTACGCCGTTGGAGTAGATGTGCGGGTGCATTGGGATGTCTTTTTCGTTCACAAGGTTAGCGAGGGTTGCGTATGTATGATAGGTAGCTTGTTATCGTTGTTGGATGAGGGAGAGGGTTAATAATGATAAGAACAATAACAACGATAATAATAGTAATAGTAACAATAATAATAGTAGTAGTATACCTCTATCGGTAGCTCTAATAAACATGACCTCGGGGGCCTCGATAGGGTAGTTATTACTGAATTTGAAGTTGAGCCTGAAAGTCTTTCCGTGGTACAGTGGGTTCTCGTCCAGAACTTGGATGTCCATTTGCCATTCCTGAAAGTCGTTCGCCGCGACAAGGTGGATTCCTGCTCGTCCCAGTATTCTTTTAGTGTTTGCATTGCTAGAAGGTGTCGGAGAGCGGATCAGTGAGTGAGTAAGCTACGTACCTGGCGGAAGACCCTGGTGGATCTGTGTTTATTTTGCCTCACATGTTAGTTTGTTTCTCTGCCTCGACTGTATCGCTCCGAGCAGGAGGGTGGGATACCTTGCTGAGCTCCTTTTGAAGGCGTTTGGCGTGAAACATCGTGACCTGTGAAAGTAATTGTGGTGCGGTGATGGTAGGAACAGTTGTTGTTGTTGCTTGTTCGCCTGCTTGATGCTCGCCTGAACGTGGGGTTGCAAGAGGGCGAGTGGCTTGGCGGTCAACGTGTTGCACGTGATCAGGGTCCGGTGTCGGCCTGGCTTGTGGCAATGGCACTCTTACTTCCCACAAGATGTCGATCAGATCACGGCTGGAATGGGATTGTTTCCCATAGCCCCTTTTCTGTTTTTCTGTTCCTCTCTCTCTCTTTTTTAGACCATGTGAGTACGCTTACCGCATAATATCGGTGAGGGGTTTTTTTTGCCAGGCATGTGGTGTTTGCCGGTAGTTTATGGGGAACAGCCCTCGCCGTTGCCCTTCAAAATGGTACGGTACAGGATTTATTCCGGATGGTTTGGCTTTCGGTTGGGTTTCAGATTCGATCGGATTATATGGAGGAGGGGATCGGTATCATAGCTCTATTTCATCCTTTTCTACGGCGGGCGCCCATTTTGCAATTCTGCCACTTACGGCATGATAGACTACCACGCCGCGGTAGGTTTGATACCCGTGGGGATAGGGCGGTGGCCCTAGCTTCTAAGCTTTACGAGTGAGGTTTTGTGAGGATAACGGGGGGTCTTTTTGCGCTTTATCGTGGTCCGTTGCTTCTCTTGGCCTGCCGCTCTGTTCCAAGGGTGGCAAGGTGGATTTGATAGTCTGGGTCTTTGCCCTGGTGATCATTTCTTGATACCTGCCTGACATGGGCACGATCTACTACAGCAAATCATCGCACGTCCTATGGAGGGGCGGGTATCATACTTTATGAATGATTTTAACATTGGCTCGGAGATAAGTTGGATTTTGTTCGTTTGCCATTTCCCACCCTCTGGTGCGGGGTCTGAGACATTGGTTGCTGGTGTGAAACTGCATTTTGCGTTACTCGAGTAAATTTACAGTACAGTACAGCTTACTGTGCTCACAATGCGTTTTGTTTTAAAGATTTTGGTTCTTGATACGATATCGCAATATGAGATCTCTACCCTCCAGAAAATCATTTGCGATTGGGTGTGCCTTGGTGGCAAAATGTTAGTAGTTTTATTGTGGGAAAGCAACAATATCAATCTGTCCACAAAAGTGCACGTGGGAGAGGGTACAATTGTTCTTGAGCACACCGCCAATAGTCCCAAGCCACCGCTCTTGTTCTTAGATTGAGTGCGTGTGTTCGCCTTGCCTTAGTATGCCCGATCCTGGTAGAGTGCTTGCTGGAATATGTTCCGCGAACAGTGGTAGGTTTCGAGGCCGGGGGAAGAATGCTCGGAGTTGTTCCAAGCACTGAATGGAGCGGGAGGGATGTGACCATGGAATTCACAGTACCGGTAGAGCTAGGTACTCGTATAGTGCTGTGCTAGCAATTTAACATACCGGTACTCCGGTGCCGGGTTGCCTGCTAGGGAGGGGGATCGGCGAAAAATGGTTGGCGATGGGAAGTTTATCATACTCTTGACCAAATTTTTCCTTGTATCATGTCGTGGGGTATTTTTAGGTATGCCCTCAGGTGCTAGAATCACACCGGTACGTTGCGGTGGGAATGTAGGGTGCTGTTTTAAAGTGTACCGAGTCACTACTGACATAGGGTTACCACTACGGGTACAGCTTGTGGTAATGGTCCTCCTAGCCTTCTGTTGGAGGCCGATTGTCTATTGCGGAAGCGTCGGAACTGGAACAAGTACCGGTAGTGTTTTATTCTTTTGGGCTGCGGCAGCCGTGCTGTGGGGTTGAGGCGGGGCTCGAACACGGTATATCAAGTTGTGCTTTGTGGTACTGTATGATACACGCACGGTACAACACAATATCATACGGTGTTCAACAAGGCATCGTGGAGCAGGTAAGATATTGTACCGTACATGCTGCGGTTAGGCAGCTCACTCTACAGTGCGATACTCGTGATCCGTCCCCGTGTGGATTGGGGGCTGGGTTTTGCGTTTTATGCACTGCGCAAGACCCGGCTTTTGCCCAATGGTGTGCCTGATTGATAGGGTGAAATATTATACGATAGACTTCAGCACTTGCGAGTGCGGCTTGAGCTTGCGAACCAGGCTTGGAGATCAGCGCTGTGATAGCCTTGTTCTTCCTGTGGCCCAATGCCGTACCGGTATCCTTGCCCTCGCTGAATAATACGACAAGGCTTGTTTCTTGAGAGCCAGCATTGACCCGGACTTGACTGGATTGTGTGCTATTGGGGTGCGGCTGAGGCTCTGAGCTAAGATTGGTCGCTGTGACACTCCGTTCGGGCTCAGTTTCGTTGATTCTAGGGGCTGTTGGGAGGTATGTTCCGCTCGCTGTGTTATCTATGGTCTTGCCAAGGGAAAACCCCACCACACTTATCTGAACGAGCTTCGTATGGCAGCGACAACCAAAGTGACAGACGGACAGGCAAGCAGTCATCAGCACCACCACTATTTTTATTTATTTTTTCCCCCCTTCTTTGTGACCTCTCCGCACCCTGACACCCCCTCCATCCACCCTACTCTCTCCTCCCTCTGCACCACTTACAATACGGTGCAGTCCATCCATCGAAGCCAACTCTCTCCTTGGAAGAAGAGAAGAAGAACGACAGCAACCCCACCTCCTTCTGCAAGTTTGTGAACATCGAATAACGGGCATTATCTCTGCGTCTCATACCCTCCCTTGCTCCTACCTGCTGTGCCATCTATTTGTGTCTCTTCCCCATTTGCGCCCCGCTGCCCGCAGATCCCTGAACCTCGACCACCAAAGCCACTGGGCAGGCAGGACAGATACTCTCCTCACGGCTCCCCCCATCACCCGTCCACCCTTGACTTATTTGCACATCTATAAACAGGAGGAACGTCGGAGCTATGAGTTGTAAGCTAAAAAGATACCCCCGTGTCCACTTGACCATTTCGTTCATTATTTTTTCGGCCCTTACGTTTCTTCGTTCTTGAACGTACATTTATCACCCCCCCCCCCCTCTTTTTAAATCGTCCCGCAAAATTTCTGCCCTGCATGATGTTCGTCTTCTTACGGAATAACTCACTAGTTTCTTCGGTGCTCAATAAGCTGCACGGGCAGCCGCCTACCTATGACAAGAAGTGAGCATTTTAAACTCGAGCATTGATGATATGCTGGAGCTGATTGGAATATGAACTGACAATCGTGGGGTGATCAGGTCGCAGTACAAAATGGGCCGCACCTTGGTATGCTTTTTCCGTCTATTTTTCCTTCGAAATGGGGAGGATGACATCCGTCGCTAAAATCGGTTACTGGCACTAGGGTGCAGGCACTTATGGAATTGTTCGCGAAGCAGACGGACCTACCGGGAAAGTTGCCGTGAAAATCATTCTCAAGAAGAATGTCAAAGGTAACGAGCAGATGGTATACGATGAACTAGCGTTGTTGCAGAAACTTAAGCATCCGCATATTGTTGCGTTTAGGGATTGGTTTGAATCGAGAGTGAGTGACCTTCGCAGCCATTGAGGTGGGGGAATACACCACGGGTGCTAAAATGGGGGATCACGTGCTAGGACAAATACTACATTGTCACCCAACTAGCGACCGGTGGAGAGCTTTTTGACCGCATTTGCGAGTACGGGAAATTTACCGAGAAGGACGCCTCTCAGGTCGTGCGCGAGGTCCTGGACGCAGTGAACTACCTGCATAATAACAATATTGTGCATAGAGGTGCGTGTTACGCGTTGAGCAATTATTGAGTCCTGGCGCTAACCTTACAGGGTAGATTTGAAACCTGAGAATCTTCTATACCTCACTCCCGATGCCAAATCTTCCCTAGTCCTGGCGGATTTCGGTATTGCCAAAATGCTGGATTCAAGTGATGAGATGCTAAACACCATGGCTGGATCTTTCGGATACGCTGCGCCTGAGGTTATGCTGAAGAAGGGTCATGGAAAGGCTGTTGACATGTGGTCTTTGGGAGTTATCACCTATACTCTCCTCTGTGGATACTCTCCGTTCCGTAGCGAGAGTCTCCCGGACCTCATCGACGAATGTAGCAAGGGAGGTGTTATCTTCCACGAGCGCTATTGGAAAGAGGTCAGCAAGGATGCGAAACGCTTTATTGGCGGACTTCTCCAGCCTAAGCCCGAAGACCGCCCCACTAGTCAGGTAGAGTGCCCCCCGGGTCTGTTCTTTAATGTGAAAAGCGCTTTTTTTCTTTGATTTCTAATTTGTGTGGTTCTACAGGAAGCGCTCAGACACACCTGGCTCATTGGCGAAACTGCCACCGACTACGATGTTCTTCCAGAAATCAAGTCTTATATCGCAAAGGCTCGCCTCAGGCGTGGTATCGAAATGGTCAAGCTTGCGAATCGCATTGAAGCACTCAAAATGAGGGCTGATGACCCCGAAGAGGATTTGCCCACCGATACTGGGAAGGCAGCAACTGGAGGAGCTTCTTCTACTGGCCAAAATGCATCGACACCGGGTGGAGGTGCAGGAAGACTTTCTAGGGCTGCTAGATCGGCTATTTTCCGGGAAGTCGTTCTCGCCAAGGTTAGGGAACTGAAGGCGGAGGAGGCCAAGCAGATGGCGGAGAGGACATTGACAGAGAGAAGCAAAAAGTAGATTGCGGAGGTTAGGCTGTAGCTCGGAGAACTCAAGCGATTGAACTGTGTTTGATTCCATCTCATATTTTCGATTTTTTTTTTTATTCCTAGGGCACCTTTAGTTATTTATTGTCAATGGGTGCTGAATACAAATCTTGATCGATTTATGATTACTGTACGAGTACTGCGAGCAATGACGTGATACGGGGGAAGTCGTGGTGATTTGGCTCTTCAAAGTCTGCTTGCTCTAATTGTCCAATCCATTGTACGAGTACTGTACTGTACTCGAGTACGATCGTCTGAGACAGTCGGATAGCGTCACCGGGAACGCTAAACCTGTCCTGGAATGATTGGAGCTTTGTGATTTGCTGGGAATATTTGGACTCACCAAGAATGTTGGGTTTTTGCTCGTATTGAGTATTGTACTTGTAGCGGTACGGTACTGAAAATCCGATTTTCCGGCCGAATTCATTGTGGAGTACGATACTTGTACCATGCGTAGTCGATTCCACTGGAGGTGTTGGGAATTTTAGGCGTAGATATTACACTCGCAGAATATCTAATTTATCAGATTGTCCTGGCTTGTTGCTCATGAATCCAAGAGAGCTGTTGTATGATCAGAACTTTGGGTCGGTAATGGGGGTGGGGGGGGGAGGAATACAAGTACAGTACTCGAGCACAGGTAGAGGAAAAAGCGCTTCCAAGACCAAATTCTGCTCCGTGCACGTCACGTGTGTCTCGCGTCCGTGGTTCAACGTCATCCCACCGCACTCTAAATCCACCTCCCCCCGACAAACAATACAACGGAAATGAGCCCGATTCGGTGTTTAAGATCAAGGACGGCGATTCCTCGCATAAGAAATTCAACCTCCCGGCCTCGATTCGTGGCCTTCCGGCATTCACCGGTACCAAGGACCTACGCCACAACAAATGTTCCAGAGGACATATATGATGTGGTAATTGTTGGCGGTGGCCCAGCGGGATTATCGCTCGCCACATCGCTGAGATCCTCGAGTGTTGCTTCACGCTTGAGGGTGGCACTGATTGAAGGGTTGGATTTGGATGCCGGCAGGAGATGGAAGCCTTCCAGCGATAATTATTCCAACCGCGTCAGTTCGTTGACACCAGGCTCTGTTGGGTTTCTGAATGGTGAGTCAGCCACTCTACCTCAGCTAACAAGATTGGGCACTGATGAGAGAAGATATCGGGGTGTGGAAGCATGTGCAAAGAAATAGAGTACAGGCTTATCATGGAATGCAAGTATGGGATGGTGTTTCCGGTTCCCGTATCGAGTTCAACTGGGGCGCCGAAAATCCGTCTACAATTGCTTACATGACTGAGAATGTTAATCTTGTTCATGGCCTTTTGTCCCGGCTTGAGGAGCTCGGCGGGGCTCAGCCTATCGACAATACTCGAGTGGAGGGGATATCCTTTGGGGAGGATCATGGTACTCTTGATCTGAGGACCTGGCCCGTCGTCCAAATCACTGGAGGAAGGAAGCTGGCCGCTAGACTTCTGGTGGGAGCCGATGGTGCGAATTCGCCCGTAAGAGCATTTGCTGGGATTGAGAGCCGTGGCTGGGATTACGGGAGACACGGAGTTGTAGCTACGGTGGAAATTGAGGAGATTTCTGGGGCCGAGAGAACTGCTTACCAGAGATTCTTGCCGACCGGGCCTATAGCATTACTACCAGTGAGTGGCGCACTCTATCGGACTCAGGGGGCTGGCATGCTGATCTTATGCGCGCCAGCTTCCGGGGAATTTTGCAACCTTGGTATGGTCTACTACCCCCGAAATAGCAGCGCAACTCAAAAAACTATCATCAGTGGATTTCGTCGCTATGGTCAACGGAGCTTTTCGATTGAGCCATGTCGATATTGCATACATGGCAAAAATGGACGCAGCAATTTCAGAGGAGTATCAGTGGAGGCAGTCTGTAACACCTTTTGAGAGAGCTGGGGTACCAAGTACAATTTTGGGGGTGCAAGAAAATTCTATTTCCTCCTTCCCACTAAGGATGAGGCACGCCGATTCTTACATCTCGGAGAGAGTGGCCTTAGTAGGGTATGCATCTGCCCCCCCACTCAGCTTTTTTCCTAATCCTGAGCGTGCATTCGCGATGTTTCACTAGGGATGCTGCCCATACAATCCACCCACTCGCGGGGCAAGGACTGAACCAGGGTATCGGGGACGTTCAGTCTTTAATTAAGACTTTAGAAACTGCAGTGCAGACCGGGCAAGACATTGGTATGATGCCGTTCCCCGTCCATAGCAGGCCGTTTCCCCTTCCGTAGGGTTTAATCCAGTCTAATGTGGTCTAATCTTGGCAAAAATATACAGGTTCCACACTGTCCCTTGAACCATACTACTCGGGCCAGTACTTGAAGAACAGCATGATGATTGGGGTAGTCGATAAGCTCCACAAGTTGTACGGGACCGCATCCCCCCCTGTCGTCGCTGTTCGCTCGTTGGGCTTGCGGGCAGTTAATGCCATGGAGGGATTAAAATCTATGATTATGAAACAGGCAGCTGGGGAGAGATAGATGGCTGGGGATAATCATGATTGGGGAAGTGTAAATACAATCCAGCGGCTGCGTGGGTGTTCAAGAAAACCCTCCAATATCATAATAACCGAGCGGAGATATGTGCCGGGAGGGGGGGGTTAACCAGGACGGGGGGTAAAATAATAATATTACATCACCTTACCACTAGCCCAAGGGCGTGCGATTTTGTACGGTTTTTGTGCCGCAACTATTCCCCTTCTCCCCCCTTTATCGCATCTGCCTACCGTTGTTGATTCCGGACCATTGTGCTATCCGATGTCGGATGGTAGGGGGGCGTGTGCCACCATGGACCCAGTCGCCAAAGGAGGTGTCGCGCTCTAGTGAAAACTAGCATCCGATTGAGGTTTCACAGCGATGGGAAAACAGAGGGTATCACCTTTATGTATCGCATCACAGGATTGGTGTTTAAAGGGGGGGGGGAGGGGGTGAAGGCAAGGATTTCGGTCACGGATCATCACTCGTGCCATAGTTTCGAGCGCAGAGATGTTTACCTTTGGAGTCTTGAAGTATGGTTGATGAGAAGTATTCCTATTCCTATTCAGATTGGAGACGGACGGGGCAAAAACAAATAAGATAAAAAATAAAGGAAATATCTAGACTATGATGGCCCAACTGTTTGCAAAACGGGGGTAAAGAAGCAAAGAAATTGACAAATGCAAAAGCGGAGGAGGAAAAACAATAAAATGAGAAAAAGGTCGAGACAATCCGACCCAACCATACTACACCCTCTCCCTCTTGGGCACGTAAATCCTCAGAATCCCATTGCCCAGGCTAGCATCGACACCACCCACCTCGACCCCCACCTCGAACCAGAACCTGCGCTGGAAGACGCCCACGCTGCGCTCCATGATGAGGTAACTCCCGCGCTCCGCCTCCGCCTCCGCCCCCGTCGCCGCGCGCTCCAGGCGGCCGTGGATGAGCAGGGTGCTCTGGTCCGTGAACTCGATGCACAGGCTGCTGGTGTCGTCGATTCCCGGGAACTCGCCCTCCAGGATGTAGGCGCTTGGGAGTTCGCGCACGTCGAATTTCGGCGTCACGGTGGGGGGGGTGAGGGTGGGGAGGGGGGAGGAAGGGGAGGAGCGGGTCAGGAGTCGCTCTAGGGGCACTTGGGCCGTTTGGGCGTGGGGGGTTAGGTCCAGCGTATTGAAGGTTTCTAGGAAGAAGGGCATCTTTGTAGGGGTTTCTTTTGTCTTTGTGTCGAAATTTAGGGTTTATCTCCTGAGGGTCTTTGACGATATTGCCTTTGCTATCGATGGTTTGATGTTTTCTTTTGCAGGTCCGGGTTGGGTTTCTTGGAGTGATGGGAAGATGTTCTATTCTGTTCTGTTCCGTTTGATGATGTTCCTTCTCCTGGTCGGCCATTCTCGAGGCGATTGTATATATACCGATTTCCTCTCTGCTGCAATGGTATAGCATAGCATAGCAGAGCATAGCATACGAAACCCACATGCGTATATAGCCTCAGCTCCGAGCATCCGTCAGCGGAAACCAACCCCACTCCCGGGAGTTGATGATGATACCCACTGCTCCGCCCACAACCCGAAAATAACGAGGTGGATAGACAGGACTAATGCTTCCATGATACAGTGCACTGTACACAAATTCCACGGCATGATACAGTAACAAACCAAGCAAATGGGTGAGTGAGTGAGTGAGTTAGCCAACTGACAATCCAACATTAACCCACTAATTTCTCGTATAACAGCTGCGATACGCCCAGGGCGAAATACCAAAACGTACGTCCGTATGTGCCTTACCTCACCTGACGTTAAAGTCGGTCAGGTCAGTTCAGTCAGGGTAATTGTCAACCTCACTTGCAACAAAAAGCCATTATATCACACCATCACCGCACCGAAACAGTTACAGTGCATTTTGGGAAGAAGAATAGGATAGACTTGTGGGATACCTTACCGCAGAGCCTCGTGGTGGTATTGTATTATATCGTATATACACCTTCGGCGGGTGATCCGGCCGGTACGGGTTCCGGGAGGCGGGGATTGGAAGTGGGAGCGGGGCGGGGGGAGGTTGGATTAGGGATTTCTTGGAAATTTGGTTTTTTTTATTTTTTACCAGGACACGTCCCCACCCCCCCCCCCCCCTTGCTCCCGTTTTACGATACAAACTTCTGGGGTGGAGGGAGGGAGGAAGGGGTATAGTAGTGGTAGTAAAGTTTGTTGCTATGTAAGAGTTTGGGGAATAGCGGAGCGGTAGTGTAAGGCTACTTGTGATGCCGTACCATAAGGCGCATATTTAGTAAACTGGGGGCAATGCTTTCGGGGTTTTGGTGTTATACTAGGAGAGTAGGAGTTGTTATGGGTACAAGTATGATATTTTCTTTTTTGGGATGCTTATCCTCAGGTGTTGTCACAGCGCTGGGAGAGTGTTTTGGTTCCTGCAGTACGGTACGGTACTGTATCACGGCTTCCCGCTCCGGTAGCGACTGCATGGTAGCACGTAGAGTACGTCAATAGAGAGAGTGTACTATACTATAGAGCCTAATCTTGAGGTGCCTATAATACCCAGCGGCACCAATAGTATCAGCTAACTTAGTACTGCGGTAGACCTCCATTGCCTTTCGGTAAACAGAATAGGGACAAGCCAATAAAACGCAGCAAAAGGGCTTCAAGATGTACGGCAATACGAGTGAGGCCAGTGCTATGATATGGAATACGCATACGAACAGCTTTTCAGCACTCACTCACTCACGCTTCTCCTTCCTTCCTTCCTTCCTCCCCCACTCTCCCATTCCTTTCCTTTCCAACGCCAGGCAAATCGATTCGCTGGCGCTTATACGGCAGCGCACGAGTACAGCGCAGTGCACAGAACGGAAATTAACCCGAACATTCCATCGTTCGCAAGGGACGAGCGGAGGAAAATCTATAGCCATAAGAAACCAAAAACCCTCGGACGAGGCAGAATTCTGTCCGTTTTCCGCTGCGAAAGTTTTAGGATTAGAAACAAAAAAAACAACAATAATAATAAAATGAAAAACACCTTCCTAGCGGGAAGGAGGGAAAAGGGAGGAACATCGCCTCGCCCCGTAGACTAGACTAGACTAACACCAGAAATCGCCCGGCATTTTGCAGCTTAGCAAATGGTTACGGTACGAGTAACTTATTCTGAAATCTTGGGAAATGGGCTACGGTGGGTGGGTTCGACCAATAGGATGGCGCGACAACCGCTGAAGTAAGATGGTCCCAAACAAGGCAATCTTGTCAAGCTGATATTAAAACATCAGTGTGGGCAACTGTAGGGTAAAGGAGTATTATAGAAATAGAAATAAAAATAGAAGGGGTATGCAAAAGAGAGAGTCAATCGTGATCACGGTACAGAGGGCGCAATGCCCTCGTCGGCGAATCACAGTATCGTATAGAATTCTCGGTACCGAAATTTGATGGCGGATTAATACGAGGAACTTATATCATGGGTTCTGGTTCGTTCATTGGCTCGGGTCCTCCCCCGAATCCCTCCTCTCCCCTCCCGCAGCGGGCTGGGGCTAGCTGCAGTATGTATGATACAATGGGTTTGTTAGATAATATCGTAGTCCCTGGAAACAGAATGCCTTACTAGCCTTACCCGGCCGCCAAGTAATGAGGCTCAACAGGAATGATTTTTAATCTTTTTTTTTTTTTTTAAAAAAAAACCCCCCCTATTCCGCCACACACAAGACAATCACACCATTATTATCGCAACTCATCCGACAGGACGAGATCCCTTGATAGGTGGAGGAGGAGAAGGGAAACGCCCGATTGAAGTACCTTGCCACCCAACCTCGCATACATTCGCCGTCCAACTTTTTGCCCATCACCATGGCCGAAACGAAGCTTCAGAAAACACCCTTCGTAAAGCAGCTCGCTGCGAATGGTAATATCTACGCCCCATCGGTCCACTCTTTGGGTTGTCTGTGAAATTTCTGACATCAAACAGATCGGCCCACCCGTGATAGAGCGGTCGCATCGTTACAAACGTACCTATCCTCTCGTCGAGACTTTACCAAAATTGAATTTCTGAAACTTTGGAAAGGACTATTCTACTGTCAGTCACTTCCTCTCTTTCCTTCTTTTAAACATGGGGAGCCTCTTACCCATTGGTAATAAGGGTTTCCTTTCAATTGACTCACGTACTTACTACCACGGTTACGAGTGCAGGCATGTGGTTATCGGACAGACCGAGAACCCAGCAGCGTCTTGTGATAGATCTGGCGAGATTACTGGACTCTATGGAAATTAAGAATGCGGATCTCTTCTTGGAAGCTTTCTGGATTACCATCGCCAGGGAATGGAATGGCGTGGATGTTCTTCGCATGGATAAGTTCCTCCTCTTAGTGAGGGGGTATCTTGCCTCGAGTTTTAGATATCTAGACGCAAGGAAGTGGGAGAAGGATCTCGTGAGGCGGTTCATGAACCTGCTTAGAGAGATTCCACTTAGGTTTGTTTCCCCCCCGCCCGTGCCTCTGGGCTGTTCTCGCTGACGGCGACGGTGACGATAGTCCCAAAGATATGAAGGTTCCCAACGGACTACGCTACCACTTAATAGACATCTATGTGGATGAGTTAGAGAAATTAAAGCCAGAGGAGATGAAGATTCCCATGCCAATTGCTACCCTACTATCACCATTTGAGGAGTTGGTGCTTGCTTCTCCAACTAAACTTGTACGCACCAGATCCAAGGAGCTGTTATGCGATGGGCGATTGGCGGATTGGGGATACGATAAGGCTCCCGGGGCCGTCAAGTCCCGGCGGAAAGAAGACGCAGAGGGTGAAGATAGCGACGACGATGAAGAGATGAGTGATGAAGGAGAGGAGTGGGGTGGTATCGATGATTAGGTACTTTTCTACAGTGCTGTTGTATGATATTAATAAACCCCCTGACGAGATCTGGTTCCGGGTTTCGGTATTCCCCGGGGTTGTTACTCCAGGCAGATATGTATTTATTTTTTTATGTAGAGCGAGGCTTTTTGGGTGTCGTATGGAAGTTTCGGACGTGGAGAGGGTCCGACTGGTCCTGGCCTGTGCGAGGATCTTGGTATACTCATGATATATCACTCGACTTGCTAAGTCTTGCTTCCTTGGGGGCTTGCTACTTTGCAACGTCGGATAGTTCCGGGGCATTGAATCCTGTAGCGGGAAATCCCCCCAGATTATCTCGCGGCGCGGGCTAGGTTGGATCCGGGAGGATGTTTAGTGGCAGTGGCAGTGGTGAAAAGTTGGCTCTCCGGAGGGGGGGTTTTCTTTTTTTCTCGATAGGCGTACCGCCAATGTATGATAGATGAATCGACATCCAGATCCGTTTACTAGTCTTAGCGAGTGAGTGAGCGGCTGCCACGATAGTTATTTTGTGCGGACAATATTGTATGCACACTTTACTTGCCCCTCCCTCTCTGGCTTGTTGTGCAGTTTAGTACAGTACCGTGTTTATATATAATATATATCTATGATATGACCCGAGTTTAAGCAAGTATATATATATCTCTAGACGTGCGGGATGAAATTTTAGAGGGAGAGAGGGAGGAGCAAGTAGCAGATGAGGATTTGGGCCGATTCACAGGAACGGTAGGCGATTTCTTTTTTCCCCAAGGCCTTTCGTACGAAGTACTATACGCTGCGGCAGCGTCTTCCAACGTGAGTATCCGAATATGCCGAACAAATCCATCACCGTTTCGCTAGTTGTGCACTCCGACCATGGACTACTTACCAGACTATCTCTCTCTTTACACCATTGTATTCTAGGCTTCCCGTCCTTGATCTATGTAACCCACAGCACCAGCGGGAGAAACGCCCCCTCCTCCATATTCGTGTACCATATACTCCCCCGCCGAATCATTCATCATCTCCCCATAAATATATCTCCCAGCACTTATCAAACGTCAAACGTCCTAGCCTGTGATCCCCCTCCTATCTCCCTTCCGCGTTCACTAAGCAGTACCCTGGCAACCCCCATCTACAATTCACTGCCACCACTCGATCATAGAAATTCATTCCTGCCTGGCAGGTAGATACAGTACAATTCTGAACCACTCGTTCACGTGGATTATTCCGGGGGCTTAGGATTTCCGTGAGGGGTGGAAGGTGAGAAGGCGAGCTAGCTAGCCAGTAATTAGATATCATCCGGGCTCAGGGGTTTTTTTTTTCCGGCCATCTACAGCGTCTCTCCCGTGTGTTAGAGTTTTTTCCTCCTTTTTTTTTGTTGGACTTCTGATAACCGTTATGTGGACCGATACCTCATAAAAAATATATAAAAAAAACTCAACTCCCCAGGATGAATCATCGAGTGATATTCCATGCGGGATACTACTTTTTTTTTCTTTTTTTCTTTTTAAACGGGTGACTTATCCATGAGCAATTGGTCAAGGGGGTGAATATACCGAGCGCGCGAATGAGCCGAATCACACATATGTGGTGATTCATCCCGTGCGTCCGTCCGTCCTCTAATGGGATATTTAGGTTTTTTTTTGGATATCACACTTGTGGATACTTTCATTTTTGGCAGTCTTTGTGTAGCATAGATAAGTCCTTGGGTGACCGAGGTATCATATCAGAGGTGGCGATATATAGCCCCCCCCGGACGGTGCAGAGACAAGTATTTCGCATAGGTACATACCTTGTCAAGAGTATTTAGTTAGCAGTGCTCCCACGTCGTAACGAAGGGAACGGCGTCTTAAAGGCCCTGCTCAAGTTGGGCCGGTCGTAGAGGACCAGGGGTGGAGGTATATGGAACACTGTGAAAAGTGGGAAAGGAAGATACGGGCTTCCAAGATAATATTTAATGGAAATTCTTGGCCAGATGGGTCCTGAAATATATGTGTGGGGATCGTGGCCAACTTATATACAACACGGTGGAAAACAGGTGTTGTATGTATGATATGACGACGTTGTCGGTTTTCAGTGTATGATATGTTCAAACAGCATGTATATGATGACCTTGCCCAGCACCGCACGTTACATATCGCGTCGAATGGTATCTACCATACCTTACCTCTTAAACGCTACCAGGACACGAGTGATTGATTGATTGTTCGTGATTTCGGATTGACTGACTGACTGTCTTGGGTTTGGGTGATGTTTGTTGATATCGCTGGCAGTATATCGTGCATACCGTTTTATTCTTCTACCTAATGTGTGATGGTGGGTAAGGAGGGAGAGTGGAAAAAGGTTCTATCAATAATACGCTATCTGGAATGGAATGGAACTGGGTCTCGGCGGCTTTTTCAACCCTCGTGCACCTTTTCACTCCTATAGCCAACCATGTGGTGTCGTCCCCAAAAACATATTTTCAGAAGCTTGAATAATCCCGGAGCCATTAAAGTACAGAGCAGACACTTTTACCAGTAGCATGGTAACCATTCCTTACCAGATGTTTCAAGAAAATGGAGCAAATAACTTGTCTACTAAAGAGTCTATATAAAATTCAGGACTCCAGGGGCTCATGTTTCCTATCATACCAAAAAAAAATAAACCCGCCGAGCGCGAGCCACACCCCTAAGGGTATGGCCCAGAGTCGGATGCTACCACCTCAACTCCCAGTCCCATAGGGCAGGATCCGCTGAATTCCCTGCCCCATGTGATGGATCGTTCAATAACTCATTTCTGAGCAGGAATTGAACTCCTGGGCTCCCGCCAAGTGCACAGGAAGTTAATTGGTTCTTGACATATTAACCACTGCGCCAGCTAGGTATTTCACAAATGACTCCTTTGGGAACAGATACTTATCCCGCCCACAGCTGGATTCAGGCCATTATTATTATTTCCCCTGAGGATAAATATAATCATTATTAAACCTTTATTTATGCTTTATGATACTAAATCAGATGCACCCTCAAGAGGGGAGATATTATAAACATCGATCACTGAAGTCTCACAAAAAGAATTCCTCCTTGTGGAGGGATCACAGCCAAAATATCCCTTTTTAGCAAACGACAGGTTTGACCGGAAGATGAGAGAACTTGAAGGAGATGGTGGATTACAGACGTATGGTTGGCGGTAAGTTACACAATAGGAAAGTACTATAATACAATACTCACGGCTCAAGATAACCTCGTTGGGAGAGTTGCGTCCACCGTTCGGGATGGGCATCACGAGCATTACTACCCAACTCCAACTCAGTCCACAATTCATCACTGGTAATGCCCTTCCTCTTTCTCACCGGAACCAGAAAACTAACCGAAATTGTAGGAATACCTCAACCAGCCCATTCCTAGCAATTGCAGAATACTGTCAGACATGTAGATGGCCCAAGAGCGAATTGCGACCAAATGCTTGAAGAGCTTTAGTAACGCGACCGATAGGTCTCTAGCTCGTATATATATACACCCCTCCGCGATAGCAATCAACAAGGAGTAACGTTCCCCTCAACACCCATCCGCAGGTGTCTCTGACAATACTAAGTGTTCCACTCCCGGATTATGTCAACCTTTACCGTCGGACCCCACAGACCAAGCGCACCCACAATCTACGATACTCCCTGCGCGAAAGGGCATAACACCAGAGTGCATACTGCTCAAAAATCCATTCGAGCCGGGAAGGTGGACGAGTCGATGTCGGTCGGCCATGCATAAAAGCGGCCCCAGAGGAATTCCTCACTTGCCAAGCCAGACCACCTCCCCGCCGGGGAGAAATCCACGATATGACCGCCGCCCCTGGCAAGCCTGGACATTGTGCACAAGATATGACACGGATTTGGCACAGGGGGCGGTGGCTAGGGATCCCCAGTCTCCCGAAACTGCACCTAATCCGCCCTATCTGCGTTGACCTTTGAACCTCCATTAACCCACTCACCATATTCCTCTTAGCAAAACCCACCCGCCGGCCCCCCAGTTCACGATATCATACCACCCCAACACCGCCTCCATGACCGCCCCCCAACACCCCAATTCTCTACCATCGGCGACCAACCCCATCCAAACCAATTCCTAACCTCCAAGCGCCCCCGCCATACACACAGTATGATGCACACCACAATTCTCTACACTACCCCGCAAAGTCCATATAACGTGCCGGCCCCCCGGAACTCTCGAGGCCCACTGGCAATCTATAAAAAATCAACTCATCCTTTCAGGTTTACCCCTCACTCCGAGCGCCCGAACGCGCGTATCAATTCAGAACCCAATCTAATTCACTACCCCAGTCCCTCGCATCCCCTCTCTCAAAAAAAATCAGGGATTGAAGCAAAAAAAAACATTCCTCATGAATGATCACTCGGCCCAAGGCTACCAAGGAGATAAACCCGGGACAAAGTGTTTTAGTTCGAGGCTTACAGGGGAGATCACCCGCCGTACGCACAAATGGAGTTTCCATCCACCGATGAGTGTCACGGGGGGGGGGGGAGTAGGGCGTGCGCACCATCGATAAAATGCGGGGTGCATAGGCGATAGTAGAACCCTGCCCCAAACATACCGGTAGTCCGCAACAGAAGCGAGGGATGGAATTAAATAGGGGAGAACAGGGGAGGAACTCTCACAAACCGCCTAAAGTTGTCCTACGGGAGGACTAAACGGGTATATTGAGGATAAATCAACTACCGTACCATGGCGAGAACAGGAGTATGGGAGGTGGAGTTTTCTCATGATGGTGGGGCCGAGCATCAACATCCCGGCAAACCCCAAGGCTACATTACACTTCACCCCCGTCAATATACTCGCCACACCGCTCCAGCTGAGGCGGCAAGCCCTTTGCAGAGGTATGCGAATGGCCTGGAAAATTGAATAAGCGCCCAGGTTAAATAAAAGATGCCAACCAACTTACTACCATGCCTATACCGTAGCAATGCGAGCAACAATTTCCATTTCTCCTATCTCCTCTTCTCATCTCCACACGCCTGACGACCACCCCCCCGCCCGACCGACAAATTCCCGACCGTTTCTCCAAAGAGAAACCTTGTGAGCTAATTAAAATATAAAACTTCTGCAGTCGGGGTGATACCCCCCCACCATACAATCTCCATGTGTCAGTCCGAAAGGAAAGTCAAGGGAAATACCATGTATACAGTATATTCCTTTTCGCCAAGTCCTTCAATTATCAATGTGCACGGCTCCTGCACAAGGTTGCTATTAACGAGACAAAAAAATAACCCAGATATATACTCGTACATACACGTTCCACCCCTGTCAGCAAGGGATCCGCTCGGTCGAGGGGATATCCCGTCGGTCAGGGAGCTACTTGTACTATGATTGCCATCCCCCCTTGATGGAGCAGGGTATCCAGCCCCGTGGCCAGGACATCCCAGTGGGTTTTCAAACTTTAAGCCATCACACCCCACCAAATTTGGAAAAAGAAACCCACACACGTTTTAAGGCTTGTTTCCCACAAGGGCCAATTTTCAACTTCTCTCCCACGAGTCTTTACATAGTTCCCCCTCCCTCCCCTAGCGTATCCACCTCTAGAGCATCACCGGAGTAGAGGGCGAGCTTGCAATCCTCAAAATGTCAGGAAAAAGAAAGAAAAAGAAAAAGAAAAGATTCAATGATATGGCAACCTCCTCTACTCGTATCAATAGGGCATACCGTGGGCCAAGCAAGTAAGCCACTCGACGACCAGGATGGATCCCGAACTTGTATATATACATACATGCCAAGCGTTTCACAAAACCCAATTCACAAGAAAAACACGCCTGGATGATCCTTGACACGATTGATAATGCGGCACGCCGGGAGCCTGAAGCAACCCGCAAACCACGAGAACTAATTAGACGGGGCTGGACCATACCGTACGAGTACTCGTACAGTACAGTACTCGTACAGGTACAGCACAGTGCAGTACCGCCCTTGTAGCCGCAGCGCTCATTAGCCGTTAGATAGCCGTTGTCGCACAGTAACCAGGGTCCGTACTGGAGTACGTACTCTACACTAAAGCAGAGCACCACAGCAGCGCAGCACTCAAGCACTCAAGCACTATGGGAAACCGTGAACGAGAAGTACCGTGCAGAGAGAGAAGAGAGAAATATACAACACAAGAAACACGCAAGCAAGCAAGCAAGCAATACCCCAGTCTCGGCCGAGTACTGTAAGTAAGTAAACAGGGCGAGTAATTTACCAACGATACAAGTATCATACTCGCATAGGGGGGGAGGTTGAGGCTTAACGTAGTCCCCGTGGTCCAGCCAGACAGACGGACGGACGGACGGACAAACAGATAACCGCACGATTCCAATAATGGAGATGGAGGAGGCATTGTATACAAACAAGTATCATACTTGTCAGGAAGGAAGTAATGAAAGGGAGGTGGGGGGGAGACGAAGCCTTAATCTTGCGATCCTGGTATTTTATGTATGATATGGATGGTATAAGCAAGTCAAGTCGGCGCGATATGTAACCCCCTCACCCTCCCTTGCACCATAACTTATGTATTATACTATCCTACACGGCCATACCTAGCAATCAATCAATCAATCGATCAATCGATCAATCAATCAATCAGGGGATCACGCCATAGCGCCCTATTCATCCATGCGAGAGTGCTACAAGTAACGAGAGATCTGGACGCGACAGAGCACTACCTAACTATAATAACTTTGAATCCATGCCTGTTCACAGCCCCGCCATTCTCCCCCTTCCCCTCAAAAAAAAACCCCCCCACGAGCACCCGGATATACACCCCAGTATCGTGCCGTAGGATGATACAAGTACTAGATACCAAAGGTAAAGACGGGAGGAAAGAGACCCCTATGGCGAACTAACTTGAATGATATCATACCAATCGATACACACATCCTCACGAATTCTCACTCTGGGGCTTTGCTTGAAACGCCTCACGCCTCACGTCCCGGTTCCTCGCCTTGCGGGCGGGTGTGTGCGTGTGCTGCAGTGAGTGTGCTTTTGGTGCCTTTTTTTTGGATCGTTATATGGATAAGTCATGGATTCGTTCGTTCGTTCAGTGAGGAAGGAGGGAGGGAGGGAGGGAGGAAAGGGGTTTTGATGGGTTATCGGAGTGTGGCGTAGTGTCGTGCGGTTATGGTAATGTATATATTACAAATCTATGATATGTACGATACTACGACACTATATGATACAGTATTGCACAGTATAGATCATACCGGTGTCTTACGCCGGGAGATGTGATTCAATCCAAAAGGTTCCACCCGCCCAGCTCCCCGCCGGGGCCGCCTGCACCAGTCTTATCCAACCGCGAGAGCAGTGGAAAAAAAACCCCCCTCCGTGAAAATCACACTGTGACAGATAGCCAGTGCAAAGAATCACCATCTGTACCCCAACTCCCCACAGATTACATTTCACGGAAAAAACGCCCAATCCATCCGTCACGCGTGACACCAGGCTCATGTCGACATCCCAAGATCGTATAGCGTACCGCACCTTCAAAAACCCTCCCGCAAACCCTCCCGCTCACACACCGACGGAGCAATCCCCCCGCACCGCGTGTTCACGGTGATACGAGATGAGGAGAAGCGGGAGGGACGGAGGGAGGGTACGAGGCGAGTGGTATAATAAGGCGGGTGTGCGGGGAAAGAAGAAAAGAAAAGAAACCTACCACGGGCGGCTGGTAGGGGCAAAGTACTAGTACTACCGTATCTACCACCGGTAGCGTATACGAGAACCGAGAGGAGATTATGCAATAGCAGATGCTTTTGGTAATGCGGGGTTTTTTTTTAATCATCAGATGCGTTGCTGCTGTAAATGGAATGCAGCATGACACGATACGATACGATACAATGGAAGAGGTGGATAGATAGATAAGCAGGGAGGTCAAAGAGGGAGGAGGGACTTTAGTCCTCTGTTCTGTGCAGTACGGTGCAGTACGCTAGAGTACTGTACTGTACCCGAACAGCATGGAATAAGCTTGTTTTGGGCTTTTCCCCGGATAAATGGGACCTTTCCCCCCGACCCTCCGACCACGCACAGATTAGCCGTTTTCTCGGTTTATTTTATTTTTTTTACCCGCCCCCGGATTTACCTACAGTAGTTTGACAGCAGCATATCGCACCGAAAATACGAGTAGGAATGAATCCTTATGCACTTGGCTTTGTCTAGTCCCGCTTGTGGTGTGGTTTGATATCCATCCGGCTGGCCGTGATGCGATAGTATCCATGAGACGCCTTCCATATACCGGTAGTAGTCTACTTACTCGTAGGAAGGATGAAGTATCCCCAACAAACAATTAGATTCCAAATTACCGTACTGTGGCTGGATGAGCCTGTGTGGTGCGCATAAAATCCCACAGTGTGTGCTGGACTCGCAGATATACTCATGATACCTCACCCGGGCACGTTTTCATGCAGGAACAATTCCCTTTCGCTTCTTGCTCCTACAGTTACTGTTCACGCACCGCGGGTGCATTGAGCTGGGGCATCGGCCCGAATACAGGCTCGATGTGGGTATCGAGATGAGTGTCGGTATGATACGTTTAAAAGGAAAATAAACGGATACGGTAATGTACCCGAGTACCCATGATTCCGTGCAGTCATAGGAATGTTGTTTGCACGTCTTGGCTGGCATGTCTTCCGCTGCTATTGTGCATGAGGCTGTGGTGGCGAGGCTCGAGTCAACCTCCGGGGAGCATAAGCTCGGTACGTACTGTACAGTACAGTACTGTGCTGCGCTATAAGGTAGGATGCCCGAGAGAGTTGGACAGTAGATATGATACCCCATTATCCAGATATCCCATGACAACCTTTTCCCCTCTCTCGAAGATATCATACAAGTCAACCGAAGCTCCCCTGACATCTGATATCATACCTACTTTACCTAGGTTGTATTACGATGGCGCAGTAAATTTCCAACGATACTGTAGCCACCACCACCACCCCCTCCTCCTCCCCCTCTGTTGCCTTTGTCCTACGCTACAGCACCACTCACCTAAATCACCTGAACATTTCCCTCGGCTCAGCCCACATGCACCCAAAAAGCCAATTCGGTGCGCTCAGAAAACTTGGCAAATCGGTAATCACTCTCACTCGCGCCCAAGCAGGCTCCCAATCAGCCAACTCCGTGCTCGAGTGTTTAGGCCAGTACTTGCCGATTCAAAAGCATCCGGACACTTTGGCAGCCAAGTTGCCCCTCTGGGCGCCAAGGAGTCGGGATACTTTTGAAACCGGCAGGCAAAGTACCCAAGCACCGTACGTACAATAAGTATGATACGGTATCACACCTGTACCGTACCTGTATCTCAACCCACCTTTCGCAAAATGAACGCCAAGACACTGGAAGTACTGGCATGATACCGGTACCGCACAACGCCAAAGTCTCCACGTCAGTGCATACCGTAGTATGCACCGCTATCGTATCCGCATCGTATCGTGGTCGCCAGAACAGAACAGCCCCACTCGCCGGTATTGCGTAAACACGGCTGCAGTAGCTATAACAGTTAGCCTTTGTCTGTACTAGTAGAAGGACTCAAAAAAATTTTAATTCTATAGCTTACTCGAACAATCTTTGCGAGTGCGTAGGTTTCCTGTATAACAGGACTGACGAGAATTCGCTCTCTCCTCTCTGTCTGCTCTGTGGATAGTGGTGTTTCCGAGATGGCGGCTGGGTTGGTGGAATTGTTGATGGACGGGTATATTGACCATTGGTTTGATCTCTCCGTACTATACCCACCGCGACATGGATATCGTGGAAAGACTAGGGGTATACAGTTCAGTTCAGTCCAGTGCTGTATCATACAGTGCAGTACAATATCGGTGGAGAAGGTGGGAAGGTGGGAAGGGAGGAAAATGCGGGAGAATGTACTGTACAGGACGAGTAGAATTTCTAAGCCTACTTACTTACACCATCTGAGTGAGTGAGCACCAGTGACGATGATTTCCTCATCTCCATAATCTCCGGGGGAGGTTACAGTACTCCCGTTTTTTTCTTTTTCTTTTTTTCTTTTCTCCCTTGCATGTTTGTAACTATGATACCATAGAGCAACACCAGTAATAATTCTTACAAAATCGACAACGAAAGCCGCAATCACGCCACGTCCAAGACGCACCACCACCCACCGATATCACGATATCAGGAAACGGAAGACAATCCCCACCCATCATTAGCAAGCTTAAAAACTCGGGTCTCAGCGTGGGGGGAGGGGGGGTAAAGCAACTGGAGAGTCCAAACAGCACATATCATAGATTTGGTAAATTATCGACGAACGGGACGGACGCTCCTCCCGGGTATAGTATAGTATAGTATTATAGTATAGCATAGCATAGTATAGTAGCCGGTTCTTCCAATTCCACAGAACAACTCTCTCAATGCGAGCACTGCTACTACTTACTTACTTACTTACTTACTTACTTACTTACTTACTTACTTACTCCGCATGCAGGATCGAAAGCTAAAACAGTTCTCCTCGTGACCCTGTTACCTGTATTTTATTATCCGAACATAGCGATGAGAAATTGTTTGTTGTAGTTGTTTTTGCAAGTAGCGTAATATCATAAGGGAAGGAACATCAACTGCCGAGATCTGAAGGGTTTTGGGAGAAAAAAAAAGAAAAAATGGGGTGTTGAGGAGGGGTACCGTATTTGGTTGCAAGGGTTCTTTCCTTCCTTCCTTCCTGCCTGCCTGCCTTCATGGTAGGACAGAGAGTATTCTACAAATGATTGCGCAAAATTTCCTCAGTAGTAATCAGGTTTCTCATGTATAATATTATTGGGTGCCGATCGGCGTGAGGGGCCGGACAATGTACGAGTACCGGTACTGTACAGTACGGTACTAGAGTACCGGTATCATGCATTGTTGGAATGCTCGTCATCCGGGTACCGAAACTCCGGCTGTTCTGGCAGGGGTATCATATGTAGAGAAGAAAAAAGAATACGAGTATTATAGATGGTGGCTTTCGTTACCAGGGGTGGCAAGTAAGCAAACTACCATTATAACCAACCAACTCATGATACTATAATGTCAATGTAGAAGGATGTATGAACAAAGAGGTTCGTATCGTCCAAGTATGTCCCAACAGGGAAGACAAAGTCCTTCCTTCCTCATACTGTAACGCTCTACCTCCGCCAACTTGAACCAATTCCCCATTCCGGAATTGTTCCCCTACGCACACACACTACCAATCTGTAAGTTAAACCGCAGAACCCACCCACCCAAACAACCGGAAAAGTACAGTACAATACTGTAGATATCATGAAAACCCACTTCCACACATCACCACCATCACCATCATCACCGACGGCCAAGCAGCCGCATTCGAAACCAAGCGGGATCAATCGGATAATCATCCATTGAATCCGTTCAACGCCGGGAACTTGCTTGGAAAGCATCGGTCATAGCCCATCGAAACTGAACCAAACCAAACCAAACCAAACCAGCAAGCCGAAGGAATCCCTTCATTCCTGACCCCATCGGCCCCCATCCAATCAAAGCAACTAATCCCACAGAAGCACCGTCGTCATCACACATAAAGCTCCAGATCGCAATCCTACTGGAAAACTGCCAAAATTTGGAACCCAATACTCAATTGCCGGCATATAGTACATTGCGCTAAAAGAGAAAAAAGAATCCAACGTGATACAAAATTTATGCACGTGCTAGTAATGTACCATAGTGCGAGCGAGGCAAAAAAAAACCCAATCCAAACCCGGGAACAGTGTCAAAGATTGATTGATATATATCACCGTAAACCCGGAAATTTTCAAGAAGGAATTACACCTGATCGTTCAACCATCCACCCAATCTCGAAAAATTCGACAACCGGGGGTGTGGGTGGGGTGGGTGGGTGGATGGTGGGGGAATACAGAACCGAAAGAAAAAAAAAAGCCCGCTATATCCCACAGTAGTGGCACAGTACGGTAGGTGTCTCAGGACCGTGTATTCGTACTGTACCAGTACCGCGCACAACGACAATGAATAGATAAACAAATCAGCGGATGCGAGGTGGGGGGGTTTCCATGCATGCGTGCCATCCAGTCCAGAAGCTCCCAACCGCTCATAACCATGCCCTGCCTGCCATGCCATCCCATGCCACGGCCATGCACAGCGAACGGGACAAAAGATCCTTCTCGGAAATCCTACAAGTAGGAAAAAACGTTTCCTGGATCCGTCGTACTATCAGCGGGATGTGGGGTGTCCCTGGGCGAGCTTGTATATCGTTGGGCGGGTGTGAACAAGTACGGTACTGTATGATACTCGTACTGTGCCGGTACCGGGAGGTTAGGTGGGTATGCATGCATGCATGCGTGCGTGCATAATATCTGGGACCCGGGTAAGAAGTTTGTGGCTTGGCCGGGGGGGAGGGGGAGGGGGACGACGTGCAGGTTGTATCATACGGCGCATGGTAAAGTGTATTGTTTTGTTTGGCGCGGTTTATGGGATTTAGTTAGAGTGGTATAGTAGTGTACAGTATGATACAGCATTGTACCGGCACGTTGGATAGTGGTGAATGTGGCTTATAGTATTTGCGGGGGGGGACTTTGGCCTGTAACTCACCTACTTGCTTGATTGCAGGGCGAGACTTGAACCCTATCGCTCACTAATTCTTGCCTCCCTGAGGAGCATCAAGGCAGTTGCAAGAAGGAGGGGGGGGGAAGCAGGAGAAGCATTGATCATACCAATGCCTCGAAAGGGTCCCAAAAACATGCGTCCCTTTCCCTCGGTAGTTGGATTACGACATCTGGTTCGAGTACCGTAATAGAGGTACGGAAATGATAGTTGACTGTAGATAATCATACATGAGGGTAGCGCGGCAATCAAATAATCAGTAAAATCCCTATCGTACCGTTCCTTCCGGGAACTCCAGTGCCGTAGCTTGCCATACTGTATTGTGCTCGAGTATGATAATACTCTGCCTAACCCATCAGAGAGATACTGTCATAATCATAGATATCCTCACTGCGGGTCCAATATACCGGTATAGCACCACACAGCCGAATTACAGCAGAATTACCCAAGCAAGCGCCATACTACCGCCGACACAAGCACGATACAAGAAAGAAAAAAACTAAAAAAAAACTAAAAAAAAACTCTAATCCCGCAGGTCAAACAGCAGGGTCCCCCGTGCGCTGTCCTACCCATCATACATTCCTCTCTCTCCCTCCCTCTCCTGCGCATGGTTCCTCCACATGGTTCCATCCGTCCTAACCTAAAATCCAGGGACCGAGGTTGCGTTTCTACCCTCACCACCACCACCATTTGCCGTACCCTCATCCATCATTCATCCCTAGCTTCAAGGCCGGCAGTTCTCCCCAAACTCGGTACCGATCGCTACCCACCCACACACACACACTACCCTACCCATCAGCGCCAGGTATCCTGTAAATGATCGTCCAAGCGCCAGGTATCATAGACTCATCGAGTCTTGTCGCGCCAAACATACCGGCATGATACGACGTTCTGATTCTATAGGCACAACCCGAGGTTTTTGTGCTGGGATGGAGAAGGAGGAGAGTAAAAAAAACCCCATTATTTATTTATTTATTTATTTATTTCACCATCGTCTTTAGCATTTTTCAGGGTAGTGAGAATTGACGATCGGGCCTGAGGTTACTCGAGCAGATAGATAGATAGATATCTAGATACATACATGGCGAAGTCTATAACCCATTGAGTGGGTAAAGGACGGGTCAGCTCGAAAGAAAAAAAGAAAAGAAAAAAAAAGGACATCCTTTCCGGGTTTTTCTTTCCTCCTTCCCGCCGTTAGATAGACGTCAATCCATTGAGGCTTCCCAGGTTTTCCAACTCTTTACCCGCGTTTTTTTAATTGATTCGCTTTCGCCCCAGTCTCACCTCACCCCGCTCAACGGTTTAGGCGGAAGTGGTGGCGGTAGAAGGAGGGGGGGGGGGGGTTCTTTTGTGCTCGTGCTTGTGCCATGTTACGGTAATAAATCTGTGTGGTGGTATTTTTCGTACTGTACTCGTACTGTACTGTAGTGCCGTTGTGGAAACCTACTGTACGAGTACCTTGCGCTGCACGACACACGCTATACCCTGTTGTACTTGTAATAGTAACTAAACTTACAAATGTTACTACTACCGATACAGTAGTGTACAGTACAGTACACTGCACAAGTACCGGTATAGCACTCTTACAAACAGCCAAAAAAAAAAAATCCAACTCGGGCACCAAAAAAGGTACAGTACAGTGCCCTTACGATATCATACCACAGAGCACACAAAGCACACACAAATCCTTCCTTCCCATCGCGACCTATAATAACGTAGACACATGCAACCTATCATACCCGCCCCCCCTCCACCCCCTCAAACGGGTAAAAAGTACCAGCACAGTAGACTACTGGCAAAAGTAAAGTAAAGCAAAGTACCTACCCGCCACGCAAGCAAGCAAGAAAGCAAGCAAAGCAACCTCCCCATCTGAATCCGGAAACGTGGAATGCCCGTTCGGTTTCTGCTCGACCCGGGCTAGCGGGTGAGTGGGTGGATGTATACTTACTTGTACTGTACGAGTATATATAATCTGCTAGTTATCATACCGGCCGATGGAATGGAGTAACTTTTTTGTCCGCGGGGTTGTAATAACTGTGTGCTACAGTGTACCAGTAGAGTACTGTACTTGTACGGTACTCGAGTAAAAAAAACTATATAAAAAAAATTATAAAAAAAAGTCCAAGTGTCCGCCCAATTCCTAACTAGTACGATAAAACATTACCAGAATTCCATTATCCCCCAGGAAGTAATATAAATTAAAATTAAATTAAAAAATTAAAAAAAACCTCCCTCGTGCTCAGGCCGAATGAAAAAGCCAGAACAAGTAA